TATATATATATATATATATATTGATATTGTCGTATGTGTTGAATCCCAAATTGTCTTATAGATCACGTCCGAGGAATGAAATGTTGTTCGAATGAGAAGAGTGAGAGTAGGAGAAGAATAACAGATAATACTCTGTTTTTTGGAGAATTATTCAATAGTCCTTCGTAAAAATGACTTATTTATAAGTCAAAGAAAGGGTATGATAAATTATATGATTGTCCGTCACTTAATGGGAACGTTACGGTCATTTATGAATAATTGCACCTTTACATATTTGCAAATAACTTAACTGCACTTTGAACTTGTAATCGTTGTTGGCATCGTTCCATGTTTGTAATCGTATTTGGCATCGTTTTGCGTCCATAAATGTTTGGTCTGATTTCCTAATATTCATTCAGTCAGCCAGGAGTATCGGTCAACTGAATGATTTACAATAGCCTCTTATGAAGAAGTTCGTCGTGAATGCTCATCGTCCTTGAGAAGGACTGTTCCATCAGGCAAAGAGTATTTTACCGTAATATGACAGACATCCTTCTTTCAATCAAAGAGCTTATATAATCTCCTTCAACCGGCTAAGGATCTTCCTAATGTTAGACGTCAGCTAAGCAGTCATCAACGCAGGTGCGCGGCGTTTTGTGGTTCGATCAGAGGTATGTTCGGTCGACCCATGATTCGACTAACTGGTGCAATGATGAAGGTTTGTGCTTCTACTGCTTACCTCATGTGACCTGTTGGATCTTCTTGAGATCCATGTCATATTAACGATGTATATAATTATTTCTCCAATTTTCTAACTTTTTTGAAAGTGAAAGGTATCATAAGAATATGAGAATTAAATGATGTAATTACTTACACACATATTGCTAATAATTGCACTTCTTGGATTTCCGTGCCACTTCTCACTATAAATGGCGTGATTAGCACTTTTCTCCTCATTTCTCAAATATTTTGTCCTCCAATCATTTTTATTTGTAAACAAAGATGTCAGGTGTTGTTGACCTCATTTTTGGTGAGGTCTTTGTTTCCTCTTAGTGCTTAGGATCTAGCCATAGGAATTTTCTTTTGACTATCCTAAAAGATTAGAGATGAAACCCACCTATATGGAAATTCAAACCATCTCTTAGCTCTCTTCGAAATACTATGTCTAACCACCTCTTAGCTCTCTTCGAAATACTGTGGATGGTCATAAATCTCTAACACTTGGAAGGTTAGGACCAACTTGTGAGGATTCGATGATGAGTTCTATAATGTTTAGAAGCCTCGGGAACACCGACGACTTTCTTATATTTGAGCACAAATATCACGATTCAGACGGTCGACACGATAAGTATTGCAATTCACATCACCTATGCCTTTATATGTTGCAAAATTAATGTTAACTTAAATAAAATTTTGACACGGTCGATCGCAAAACCAAAATTTCGGCAAAAATTAAATTTGACGCATTTTTTACACGATCATCGACGAAGTGGTCCGAACGACACTGGATGATGAAACGGTTCGCGCGAGTGAGCTCGGAATGTCGATTTTGATTAGGAGAGTGTTCATTCCATCTTGAAGACGTGTTTTGGTCTAATTGACTAATTGAATAAAAGAAACTGCATAAAGAATAATTAAAAAATAAATGATACATAAAAGAATCGCCAGATACATAATGAAATTTTGTGCGAGTTTTTGAGAACCTTTTAATTTTTAAATAGAGGATTTATTCAAAAGGTTCTCAAAAAATTTAGATATATCTAATTATAATTCTAATTAACACTTACATTTTTTTCATTGCACAACGAATAATCGTGAAAATATGAAAGTTGAAGAATTTTTTTCTTTTTTTGTAAAAGGAGCATTATTCGGTTCTCTACATGTTGATCAATCAAACAACACAAAGATATAAAGTTGGAACAGTCCCCTATCTAAAAACCAAAATACAATGTGACACACCTAAAGGGGGGACCCATCCACAAACTGATTCACCTTACATCAGGAAAATGACTGTATTATATATATATATATATATATATATATATATAAACAGTAGAAAAAAAAACTAACTAGACTAGGAAGCAGTAAGAGATCTGGTAGAAGAGGGATAAGGTCTCCTTGGAGAGGGAACAATGAGTCCATTAAACTAGTTAATATTAATTCTGAGATGTGGGGCCTCAATAGTCTCACCATGAAGTAAGAGAGCTAAAGGAGTTGGGGGCCTAGTAGCAACAGATAGAGAATTGGAATGCAGACCTTTTATGGCAAGCCAATTGGCAGGTTTATTTCCCTCCCTATAAATAAAGGTAATATGGAAGCTGAGGATGTTTTTGAAGTTCCTAATTTTCTGTTTCCAATGAGTGTGGTATCAGGATGATTGTTCTTCATTCTTCAGATTCCAGAATTTTGATGAGCAATAGAGCGTCCACCTCAAGCTAGATGTTGTACCATTCAGCTTTACAAGAAAAAGTTAAGGCCCAACAAACTGCTATGTTCTGCCTCAAGTGCATCTTTGGCTTCAGTGGGAGCTTAGAAAAACAAGAGGCACTTGCTGGAAGAGTCCCTAAAAACACCTCCCACCCCTGCACCCCAAACATTAAAACTGCCATCAGCGTTGATCTTAATAGTTGACTGTTGAGTGGGTTTCCAATAGACCTTATCAATCTTATATGGCTCTCTAAATTTAGTGATCTTAATCTTGCAGATATTAGGGAAGTTTTTATGCTGAATCAGCTTGGTTAAGTAAGAGATATAGTTTCCGATCACCTTTGAATTCTGGATATCTTTACCCTCATGTTTAGTGCTATTTCTAGCCATCCAAAGAAACCAGCAACTATGAAAGGAATAGGATCATACTTTTTACTTTGCCAGCTATGCCAATCTTCAGAAAGAGTAGACCAATCTAGATCAGATCCATCCAATGTGAGCATAGCCATAACTTCTGTCCAGACTCCTTGAGCAAAGTTACCAGTGAAGAAAAGGTGGTTGAGGTTTTCCTCATTCTTCAAGCATAAGAAGCATCTAGAAGGCCCCCCCCCAATCCTTTTAATTTAAGTATATCATCAGTGGGAAGAAGCTTTTTGAAGAATCTCCAGTAACTTTAGTAAGACTTTGGTTACTGTAGCTTTGCTAGATAATTCTATCCTTCCTTCTTCTGTCAAAGTTAATTTTGGATATTTGAGTAATATAAGGCTCCTGGAGAATAGACTGAAGTTTAGTAATGGACCAATGATCACCCTCCCAGAACTCAGCCACAGTAAGGTGGGTTTTGAAATCAGAAGGGGGAGCACTGAGCCAATCCTTAGGACACCATTGATCCAGCCAGAAATTCACCTTACCAGTCCCCAAATCCCAATTGTACATCTCTTCAGCAAGATGCATTACTTTGAGCATGTTTACCCAGATCCTTAAATCACCTAATTTCTTTGTAATGAGAGAGGGGTGTTGATCTTTATAGTACTCTCCCCTCATGTATTTAGCCCAAAGTGAAGTTTGAGCTCTGAAGTTGATCCGCGTTTTGCAAAAAGTTTACTTGGATGAGTTGTTGTAGCCCTTTAAATCCTATACCCCCAGCCAAGGTGGGTTTAGCGACCTTCTGCCAAGAGGCTTAATGAAGTTGTTGCCTTTGGCTTGCCCACAGGCATCTATTGAAAGCTCTGTCCAATTGAATTTGTGTGCTTTTCTTCATAAAAGTGGTTTGGAGAATATAAGATGGAAAAGCAGTAATGATACTTTTGAGTAAAGTTATCCTGCCTCCATTGGAAAGGAAGGAATGAGACCAGCTAGAAAGGTGAGAGTTAATTTTGTGAAAACCTTCATCAAATTGAATAAGCTTAGATCTTCCACATCTGAGGTGTACTTACAGGTACTTAATAGAGGGTTTGGCTATAGAGAATCTTGTGCAATCATAAATCCAATGTTTGCAATTTGATGAGGATCTCTTGTTG